TTTTTTTTGGAATTTATGTTGTTCATTTTATAGATCCTCCTGACCCAGCGCAAGGACAGTTTCACCTACCATCGACCAACCGTGCATCAGTTCAAGATGATCAACCTCCACTCCCACCAGCGACACCACCGCCACCGCCTCCGTCGTCTTCTCGTGCTGAGGAAAAAACTACTTCGACGACTTTTGAAAGTGATATAAATGGTACGTATTGAGTGATCAGATTTCCGGTTGAGAATAACCAGTATGAGTGAGTAATTATTGGGCCATGATGTCATGTCCTGTCCTGCCTGTTGTGGCAAAATACATATCAAACACATTTTCGGTCCTCACTCGTCCCGTCCTTTGAATGAACGTCATTTTGATCATTCTCACTCCTAACCTTGTAACGCCGAAAATCCTTGTGGACGTAGTATAGCAGCTTTAAGAATCCAGCCAAATTTCCTTCAACATTCAAACTGAAGCACTTGAAGTCACACATTTTTCCAACAAAGCGGCTGCTGAATTTCAAAAAAATTAAATGCAAGGGAGATGGGGTTTGGCTCTAAACGGTCGTAATTTAATTGCTGAAATGATCGCGTCAAACAGCTATGGGGAAATGTGCGTTTGATCATCACGCAGCTCAACTCACAATGTCGTTGGTTTCTAAAGGTACCATCACGTTCAAAAAATAACATCAGGAAATGGAAAGCACTTGTTTCTTTATTCAGTAGGTGGCTTTTGAGCGAACGGATTTACTGACGAAGATGATGTGAGAAAATTTGCTTTCAAGTCTTAGTAGTTCAGTCTAGAACTAGGCGATCTTTGCGCACTTTAGTAAAGTTGGAGGAGATAAATTGAGGGAAAAATCAAAATTGACTAACGGGTTAGTAAAGAAGACTCGAAGAGCAGTCTTCTTACGCGAACACTCGGAGGACCAAATATTCTGTAGCGAGCTGAAAATTTTACGAATAGACAATTAGGAATTTCAAGTGCGTTGCGGTGAGAGAGCAGACTATCTTGTAAGATGTTTTATATTTCTTAACATTAGTTGGCAAAGATATAAGTAAATCTCTTTTAGAAATAATTATACAGCAAAGTCAATTAGACCACACTATAATAGAATACTTGAAGAGTCGAGTACGCAGCTTCCTCCTCCACCACCACCTCCAACACCGTCACCACTTAATGCTAAGTGTCCTTCGACGCAGCCCGAATCTAACCTTACAGCAGGGTCTACTCCTTCAGATGCCAGTATGTCATATTTGCTTTGTAATTTAGTTTGAAGTGATCTTCTGTTGTGTAGATGCGAGAAAGCATCCACTCGCCACCGTACGACCATTCAGTAAAAGGAGCAGACAGGATGGCTTACTAGAGGAGAATCCGCCTCCACCCCGCTCACCTCGGCGAACGCTTTCACGTAGCCCCGGTCCACGTACTCCACGATGTTCTGTGCAAGATAACGAGGTAAATTTTGATTTCTTGTGAGTCCATCGCTGCATTGGTAATTTACTATTATCTGAGTCTTGGCCCGATAATGTTTGAATCATACTACTAATGCGGTGTAACTAAGACTGACTAAAGGCACAAGCTTACGTACCAAATAACAAAACTTGCAAGTTTAAAGGGATGTGAGCCCTAGTAAATAGTGTAGAGTTTGAATAGTGATTTCTTTGAATTAGAATTGATTTTGATGGCTCTGCCCTAGTAATTACGAAGCCTGTTTAGATTTTTCATTTTCGCGAATTCTACTTAAGAAAAAAATGAAGGACAAAGAAAATGGTTGAATTAGTCAAGTTGCGCGTCTTTTGCATCTTCTGTTTTTTACCCAAAGTCACGTCAAAATTTGAAGAATAAACCATGATTTCGCCATAACTGTGAACACCTCTTATACGCATAAAATGGATATTGATCTATGCTGCGATTTTGTGACATAGCTTCTCCTAAAGGTCTGCATTTCAGGTGGAGTCCACAACTCCTATGTGCGGAAATCATGCCTCATCAAGTGGTGGACGTACACCTGGCTACGGCTGTCACACAGCTGTCGGCTTCCCAACGCCAACCAGTAGTTCACAGACCGCGTATGGCTCAACCACGCCTCATTTCGCTGCACAGACACCAAGATACTGTGGAAATTCTCCTGACTACGGGTCTGGTGCGCCCAGCCTTTACCGTGCACGTACTCCCCATCAAGGATCACGAACTCCAGCCTACGGAGGCACCACGTCTAGCGCAGGAACTACCCCGTATCAGAGCTCGCAACCTCGTTACTATGGGTCACAAACTCCCGCATATCGCTCGCCTGGTCCTAGAACTTCTAATTATGTGCCGACTTCACCCAGCTACAGTGGAGATAACAGGGATAGGGAGGTTCTAAGTGCAGGAAGAGGAAGTTCTGCACGGCAGTGTCATAGTTACGACATACAGCAGACACAAGTAAGTTTCTTTCGTGTCTTTTTTTCTCTTTTGACTCAAAGAAATCGCTCTATTTGTCTGCTCATTTTGCTGCGTCTTATACGTTAAGCTCAATTGTAGCCATCATCTTCAACTTCGACTGGATCCAGTATACGTGGTGATAGCTCAGGTTGGCGCTGCATTATTTGAATTATCTAATACAACATAATTTGGACGTCGTTTTTTTTTTCTCATCTTGTCCTTAGTTCAGCCCATGCTGGTCATACACCCATGAGACCTCCACAACGTTATCCGGACGGCACACC